CCCGAGCCCGTGGGCCACAGCTCCGAGGGGAGGGGCGGGACTGGGATGTGGAGCCTCGGGGTGAGGGGGTGGAGCCGGGGTGGGCCCTCTGTGCTTGGGGCGGGGCTAAGACGGGCTCTAAGAGGGCGGGGCCAGGGGGCGTGCCCTTGCTGTGCAGGGATTGGGCAAAAGAAAGACTTCGGTTTGTTCGGCAGAGCCGCAGGCCTATCTTGGACGCTTGGGGAGGGGTCGGGAGGCCGGCCCCTGACCCAGGGGCGGGTCAGGAGGCGGTACCTCGGCTTGCGCCGGGCGGCGGGGGGTGGGGGGCCGGCAGGCGGGTTCTCAGGGTGAGTTGGCGGGTCTTTCGAGCCGACCGCGGGGCTCGCTCCTACAGCTTCCCGGCGGACTGGGGGCGTCGCAATCAACCAGGACTGTCCCCACTCGCACAGGTGGGCGGGGTGGCTCCGCCTCACACCTGGAACTCTCCGGACACACCCAAAGAATGCAAATCTCAGTGGATCGGCCTGCCAGAGGAGGGGCTTTGGAGTTACAGACTGGAGAACCGTGGGACTCAAGAACCATGGGGCCTAGGGCACCAGGCTCACCCTGTCCTTTCTATCACCCAAACGCTCGGAGAGGAGGCAGACCGCAGAGGCTTGGGGGCTCTGGTTAAGGTGCCTCGTCCCTACAGGCCACAGCTTTCCGACCCTTGGCATCACAGGAGGTGAAGGAATTAATTCCTGAAATGCTCTTGGTTAGGTGCACTCTGGCTCAGAGAGGGCCCCTCTGTAAACCCTTCCTGTCGTTTTCACAAGCCTTTGGAGCTAGCCAGTTCGGAACCACCCTACCTGGCCTGACAGCTGCAGGGCGAGAGGCACCTTAAAGGATGGGCGTCAGGCGGAGTTCACCTGAGCTCCCCCGGTTGCACCAGCTGGGGCTCCCAGCCAACCAAAGCAGTGCCACCTGTTGACTGAGGTTGTAATTTCTATGGAGGCCTCCAGTCCTTTAACCCCTTGAGTTCCATTAGGAATTTTCAGTTCTAGTCTGGGACTCCAGATGGCAAGGGAGTCATGAAAGAATTTAGGGGATGGGGTGGGAGTGGGAGGACCACGAACATTATACATCGCACAGAACATTTCAATTCCCAAGGGGATCTAGCACCTCACCCAGATCACCTGGAATATTTTAACAGTTCGGGATGCGGGGTCTCTGGCCTAACTGTCTCCATCTCTATTTGGCATAAACCAAGTGCCCCAGATGTAAGTCCTTTAACGGTCAATTTTGGAAATGGTCTTAAAGGAGAAGCAGAGAAAAACTGAAGGCTTGAGCATTTGTCAAGAAAAAAACATTTCATGCAACCTGCTCCCCCAATGAAGATCTGATAAACTTTGTCTTACAAAAACAGGGTTGGCAAATGATGAGATTTTGCAGATCCTAGACACACTCCACACTGCACTGAACTAATAAGAGATTAAAGAACTGCTTATACTCACCAATGAAAGAGAACCAGTCTGTGTCGAGACCACCAGGTACCACTTTTTCCTAATACACTGTACATGTCCTAATACATGTATAATATAAATATAATATACATGCCTTGTATTTATGTCACTATCTCCAAAGAACTCCAAGTGTGTGGGAAGTTCATTTAAATTACCGAATTTTTCAAACTGTAAGACACACCGGACCATAAGATGCACCTAGGTTTTAGAGGAGGGAAATAGGAAAAAAAAATTTTGAAGCAAAAAATGTGGTAAAATATTTAATAACATAAATAACATAGGCCACTGCCCCCCTGCCCCCAGTGAGCCAGGTAAGTTACATTCAGACTATAATATACACACCCCTCTTCCTCCCAAATTTGGGCGTGGGGTGTAGAAGAAAAGTTCCTCTTATAGTCCAAAAAATACAGTAGTTTTGATAAATTCATGTAGTAGTTACACTCGGATTTTCAGTTGTGTGGGAGGTCTGTACGCAGGCAGATATGGGTGACCTTTTAAGCCTGTCTCTCCTATAAACTTGGCTCTAACCCACCCATCTAGGTAGAAGTCCTGCATCGTTCTGCATTTGACGCCGTGCCCACTTGTGGTTGACTCACAGGGACAACTAAACCTTTGTTCGGCGCAGTGTTATCATCGGCCTCATTGTTTCCACCCGACATTGCAGCTCAGAGGCGTGGTCTGCCACAATCCTTGCCACTGGTTTGGTAGGCAAGGGAGAAGGCCAGGTCTCAGGCTGATACTGTGGGTGGGCTCACCACACATGGGTCAACCTAGAAAAGTATCACAGAGAAGCTGATGTGGGCGGGGTTGCTGGCTCCTAAAAAACACATCTTATGGGATAACCATTTAAAATATACCACTTTTAAACCATATTTTAATCATCCACTTTATGGAAAAATTCACACGGAGGCTAATTGGGGGATCTAATGACCACATGGCTTGCAAATTGCTTACATTCAATGTTATCGTCTTCCTTCATTTGTACACCAGGGCAGTTGCCCGTCGTCTCCAGACTCACGATGGTGCACTGGATGTGACCAGTGCTCGGTGCCAAGAAAAGCCAGCGGGCCCGGCGCTAAGGCAGACCCAGAGACAACACGGCTCACAGCTCTCAGCTCCATGACCCTGGCACATTCCCCAACCTCACCAAGCCTTCACTTCCTTGTCTGAAAAATGACAGTAAGACCCGCCTTACATAGAACAACATCCAGAAAGCCTCGGTATGCCGTGGGCTCTCAATTCACGATTCTTTTCCTAGCCTAACTTATTTTTCACTATCGCATACCATGAAACACTTTCCACGTACCTCCGTTAGACACCTTTGGTTGCAAGACCAAGAACCCAGGTCAAACCAGCTTAAAAAGGGAAATGTCTCTGAAGGCTACAGAGCATCGTGGATCATGTCTTAGAGCCAGGGGTCTCGGGAACGGTCTGAGGCCAGGGAAGAGGTGCCACTGTGGGGAGGGGCCATCTCCCTTTGGGCCACTCTGGAACTGCTGCTTCTGAGAGTCCGTGGCCTCCTCCTCCAGCAACACCTGTCTCCCTCTGCTCCTAGGACCATGTGGGTGGGGCGGGTCACTCCCAGCCACAGCTCTGAGCTTCTTCTGGTCCATGTCAGGGGGCCCTGGGGCTGGTGCAGTCAGCTGAGGCTCGCAGGGCAAAGTCAGCTTGCGGCTGCTGCCCCTGTAAACTTGGGGAAGAAGCGTAGGGGACAGGAGGTCATTCTTGGGAGGAGGGTGGGTGCTGGGCAGACCGTCCAATAAGGGCCTCTGTGACTTTTGCACAAAAATGAGAAATGCCATTCTGGTGAGCAGTTTATAATAGAGAGTTTTCTGAGTGGGCTACAGGCTGACCCCCAAATGTGAAGGTGAAATTTGGCTGGAGACAAAAAAAAATGTGTAGAAAGAAAGGGACTGGTCTGTTTGCTTCCTTATGCACTTCCTGTCTGTGATTGCATGAGGTCGGCCTGAGGGCACTGCAGGGTCACTAACCAGGTCACGCCGAACATCAGACTCTGGAGATCCGGCTGCATGGGAAGACCAGCATGGAAAAGGGATTCAGGAAATGGATCAAAACCCATTAGAATGTTTCCAGAGCCAGACAAGAAGTCATTAAAATGTCTTAGGAGCTGTGGTCCGAGAGGAAGGCAAGAGCACGCTGGATTTGGTGAGGCACGTGAGTGATGACGGTAAGACGTGAAATGGGACAAATGCGAGCTGGGTGGGACTCGGGCTCCACCCTGCCCAAGGTGATGAAAAAGCGAAGTGAGGGCTGAGAGAGCTGGCCGGCACTTTGCCGTGCTGCCGCTGTAAGCTGGAGAGTCGGGAAAAAGAAGTACCTCCAACCCTGTGGCTGACCAGAAATAACAGGGTCACCTGTGTAGCCCTGACCCTCGAATAAATGAAAGCTTAAGCATTTTCATCCTTCACTGATTCTCAGGTGGAAAACAGGGTCATCCCTTTCTTCTGCAGTGCGGTTGTCAGGTGCCGTAACCTTTGTGGTCACCACCAAGTGACAGGTTGCTGTTTCCCCCTGTGAACAGCGCACCCTGAACTGGGCGAACGTGGGCTTTCTCCCCTCCCTGCGGCGTCTGACGTGTACCTATTGTGTTTGTGCTGGTCATCCCCACTTCGGTGTCGACTGCTTTGCAGACTTTCTTCACAAGTTTATTTCTTCTCGTTAGCAACATCTTTTGGTCTCCACCTTTTCTACAGGGTATACACAGAACCCATGAGGCTGGTTGCAAAATTCATCTGACTTGAAAGCAGTGAACGTGGAGTTGCCTGTGGTCAGGGAGACCAACGAAGGGGCCCCGGGAGGCCTCTGCAGAATCGCCCTGGGCTGCAGTGCACAGGGGAGTGGAGCGGGTTAAGGAGGGGACGTCTGTATCCGTGGGAGCAAAGAGCTGGTCTGGACAAAGATGCCCACGCAGGAACAAGATCAAAGAAGTGGCGGGGCCGCCTTGCAAACAACTTGGGGAGAACACAGAATGCAAAACCTAAAAGAAAACCCATTATGGAAGAAATGACATCCCAGCAAAAAATATATATATATATTCCTCCCGAGTCCTGGAAGCCACATATACCAGTGCAATCCATAAGTACAAGAATGAATTAAAACACACTCACATATAACAAACAGAATGACAGACAGCAGGGGTGCAGAGCTAAGGCACAGAGTCACCGCCTGAGAGACTCCAGGCCTGCGACCTCTCGCTCTCCTTGGACCAGGGGCTCAGCATGGGTGGTTCTCAGCAGCAGCAGCAGCAGCCCCTGGGAACCTGGGAGGAATGGCCATTCTCGGGCTCCAGCTCTGGGCCGTGGTGTAACACGCCCCGAGGTGAATCTGCTGCCCTTGACCATGCGGCCGCCACAGGACTGGCTCCTCCTCTCAGGCTCGAGTCTGGACACAGCAAATCAGCCAGACTGAGTCCCGAGCTGGACCCCCCTGCCTGGGCAGCCCTAACGGACACTCCTGAAGGACAGAAAACAGCAGACCATGAGCCCAGAATCTGTTCACTTGTTCCATTTATTGAACATTAAGCACCGAAGAAGGCCTTCACCAGTGCTGGACGACTTTGTCACGCACTAGCTGGCCGTGAGGCTCAGTGGCGTCTGGGGGCAGGAGGGCCAAGTAGACAGGGGTCTCAGCCCCCTCCTCCACAGTCCTGGAGCCATAATCCCTGGCCATGTCTGTCTTCACCCAGCCGGGACAGCAGGCATTCAGCAGAATCCTGTCGGCCTTTCTCTTCTCGTCCAGGCGCCGGGCCAGGATTCTTGATAAGACCGTGACCCCCAACTTGGACACCCCGTAAGCCGAGCTGGGCCAGCCCTCCCTCTCGTGCACCTCGTTCCGAGCATCCTCCACAAACTTCTTCATGAGGTCCACCAGGTCCTCCTCTGTGAGTGTCTGACAGCGAAACTTCTCCTGCAGGTCTTCGCTGCAGTTCTCCAGAGCTTGGGACCCCTGCAGGCTGCTGACGTTCACCACTCGGCCTGCAATGGAGTAACACAAAATGTGAGAGCACGTCACACAATCCTTGGATGACTGTGCCAACAACGGACCGTGACTGCGTGATGCTGAGGGCTCAACTGCTGATTAAAAATCATGGCTCTAGAAGGCACTAGTGGGGTTTTCATGGTTTTTTTTTTGGTCCTGTTCTCTTAAAGGGAAGAAGTGCTCCCATCAGGCATCGGGGCTAAAGAGCAGTGATGCCCCATTCAGTGAGGAGGTCTGCAGGAGAATCACCACCCCGCCCTCCTCCCACACACTCCAGGGGCTGTTGAACCTGCTTTCCTAGGGATAGCACCTTCACCCTGAACTTTAAAACTCTCCATCGGTTTGCACAATTTCCTAGGGTCGGGCTGTGCCTTGGGGATGACCCTTGTCCATCCTTAATAATGGATACTTTCACATATGGAGTGGCATTGACTCCCGCCCTGGTTTTGATTTTCCTTACATTTTAAGTGGTTGTTAATACATAATTAAATTTAATTAATGAGTTAATGTTCATAATAACAATAATTCACAGCTACTAAAGACACAGTTCTGTTTGTAAACACAAATATGCAGGCCCAAATTATAAAACAATTTGAAGTGTTGGTGGAAATCCAAAAATCAGTAAATGTGTGAATTTACACATTTCATCCAACAGAAAAACACCAGTTTGGGAGGATGCTATTCTTAGAATTTTTCTGAGTCCATTCCCATTGCACCCCATAGCATAACTGGATTTTACTTCCTTTTCTGAGAGGCATTCCCCACCAGCACACAGCCCCCCCCATGTGCGAGTGAGGGCTCCCTGGCCCCCCGGGTACCTAAGACTCTCAGTGTTTTCTCTCTGCCCTTCCTTCATTACTTCTCTCCCTCTCTCTCTGATCACAGATATGTCCTTCCCAAATTTAACTTCTACTGAAACCTACAGAGAAGTTGCAAGAATAGGTCAATAATATGCCTGCATACCCTTCATCTAAGTTACCAATAGTTAACATTGTGCCGCACTTAAGACATTTATCATGGCACGAAGCTATTATCTAAAGCAGGGATTTTCAACCCGTGTGCTGCAAGAATTTTTAAAACAGTCAATACCTATTTAGTCAGGGGCACTGACCTCTTTTCCCTTAGTTGTCAAATAAAAAATGACAACAGCCAACACAACAATAGCCATCCGGTGTGAGTGCCCTGTCTTGAACCTTAACTACATAGGCCATATAACAAGAGTTGCATCTTATTGGTCATGTTGTATAGTAAGGTTGTATCTGATTGGCTAATTTATGGTACCAGAAATCCTTATACACAAGTATAGACACCTGAGTTTTTCAAGTCATTTTTTCAAGTGCACTGGCTGGTGTGGCTCAGCTTGTTGGGCGTCATCCTGCAAACTGAAGAGCCACAATTCCTGGTCACAGCACATGCCTGGGTTTCGGGTTTGGTCCCCAGTCAGGGTGTGTGCAGAAGAAGGCAACTGATTGATGTTTCTCACATTAATATTTCTCTCCCTCTCTTTCTCCCTTCCTTCCCTCTCTCTGGAATCAATAAAAAAGAAAAAAATAATTAAAGTCACTTTGAAACAAAAAAGGTAGGTAATTACTATTTTTTGGTAAAGCAATAAACATTATACCCACTTTTTGTCAGATTGGCAAAAACATATTTCTGGCATGCCGCAGAATTTCAGTAATGAGCTGGTATGTGCCGGGAGGTGAAAGGGTCGAAACCGCTGCTCTGAGGGTGATCTGAGTCACGCAGCCCCAGCTGTCTCAGGCATCTTCCTTTTTAGGTCCGTGATTGCTTCCATCCAGGTTCCAGTATGAGGTCATGGCTGGCATGTGGTTGTCACCCCTCTTCAGTCTACTTTACTCTAGGGAACTTGACCTTTTTGAAGAGTCTGGTCTAGGCCATTATTTCACAGTATTTCCCCCAGTTTGGATTGGCCCGATGTTTTCGTGGTTAGGCCTGGAGCACTACATCAGAGATGCTGTGTTCCTCACTACTTTCTAAACAGTTTTGGTCTCAGCCACTTGGCTGCTACTGGGAATTAAATTTAAAAGGGAAAGAAAGAAAAGAAAAACAAATTGCTGGAACTACTCTACGTCTCTGCTGGAAATAAACCTAAGAGGAAGAAGCGTCCTCTTTGCTCTGAGGGCACACCTCTGGGAGAGGCCAAGGTGTGACTGTCCCAACAGTCAGATGAGTCCCAATCAGCCTTGAGAAGGGCCGCACCCACATTGCCTGCACGCCCCCTGCTGAGGGCCAGGTAGGTGGTAGCACAGGCCCAGAAACACCTGCCTCTTTTTGGAACGAGTGGGCAAGCAGCTCCCCCTAGTGGCTTGGTACTTGCTTAACCTATTCACTCAGAATCTCGAAATAACAAGCAAGCCAAATAACTTTCGTTACAGTGGTATTATAAACCTAAACAAAAAGGGGTTTTTAAACCAGGGAGAAAGCAATTCTCTAAAAATCAAGAAGCAAGAATACTCCGCATTTTGCCCTCCCAGTAAACCTGAGGTTTACTGAAAAGTGACAAGTTTTCCCAATGTGTTGTAAAGCAGAGATTCTACGCTGGGAAATGCTGGTCAGAGGCATTCAAGACAGTGATTCACCTGTTCTGGGCTGATCCCGGGGCCCCACCCTCCTCAGCGCCTTCTTTGTTCTTCAAATCGGCGTGGTCTGCAATCATTCGGCGCCACAACACTTACTCCCCTGGAATTAATTACCCTGATTTGATTGAGGGGTGCGGTCAGGAAAATTGGATACTGTTGCCAGCTCTATTATTACCACCTGGCTGTGCTCACTTCTATGGACCTCAATGTCCTTCTCTGAAAGTGAAGATGTAGGATCGTAATTTCTCCAGTAGCTTGCAAGCTTTGGAGATAATCCTATGATTCAAAAATCCGGAGGGAGAAGACTTCCTGGTACTTGGCTAAGAGACGCCCCTACAATGAAGTCTGGCACAGTGGTGAGAAAGCTCTCTGTCCTGATCAGGAAAGAGACCCAGGCGGAGTAAGCGAAGAAAACACAGTGGCAAACATTATACTCAACATTCTCTTTTGTGTAGGAAATAAAAAAGCAAAAATATGCATTTAGGTTTGCTTAGGTTTGGATTTAAAGCCCTATTCCCTAGGCCCTGGGCTCGCACCAGCTCTGGGCACCTGGGCCCAAGGCGTCTGTCTGCCGGCACCTGCACTCTACTCGGGGTTTCCCGTGACCCCACCCTCCTGAGAAACCAATAAAGGGAATTTCCTGGGGAGGCTGGAGATGGGGACCTGGGCAAACTGGGGGGAGGGTGGTGGTACAGATACAACTCTCACCAGGCAACTTGTTCGATTTTAAGACTTTTGCACTACAGATCATCTTTATTCAAAACGTTAAATTAAAAAATGATTTTATTTATTCATTTCTGAAGGGAGGGAAAAGGAGAGAGAGAAACATCGATATGTGGCTGCCTCTCATGTGCCCCCAACCGGGCACCTGGCCCACAACCCAGGCATGTGTCCTGACTGGAAACTGAACTGGTGACCCTTCAACTCACAGGCCGGCACTCAATCCACTGAGTCACGCCAGCCAGGGCTCAACACGTTAACATTTAAAAAGCACATTTGTAATAAGAACCGGAGAGTTGCTTTTCCTTAGAATCGCAGTTGGCTTTTTGGAAAGGAAAATCCTCAGGGAAGCAGACCGCCTCCCCCACCCACTCATCAAGCCCCGCTGTGATAGAAACCTATGACTTTGTTAGTGACAGTTCCCCCGCTGGCTCCGTGCTCCAAGGGCGTGATGGTCTGGGCCCACGATATGCCCAGCACTCAGAGTAGCAACTGGGTCGTGGTAGGCACACAACAAATATTTGTGGACAACGTAATTAAAGCTAGCTATCGAATACTTTGGAATTGGGCAAGATATTCTTGAATTAAAAATTTTTCCTTTTTATTCAGCTAGCAATAAGCACACTTTGCATAAACCTCATTGGCTACAATACTTGGCAAAGCTTAGAGAAAACTATCTTGGGGGTGTTCTGAATCAGCCGGACAAAGTTTGGTAGGAGAAGAAAGAAATACAGGGAAAGGCATATCAATGCTAGAGCAGATACGACCCCCCAGGCCTCCAGGTGACATGGGCGTGGTCCTGTCACCTTGGGGAGCTGGAGGAGGGCTCCGGGAGGTTGCAAAAAGGCAAGACTTCTGAGACTTGCAACACTGTATCATTCTGGGGCTGAGTTCGTGGTATGGGAGACCCGAGAGCACAGCCATGTGTTATACACACCTTTTAAAGCTAAAGCTAAGGGGTGTGGGTGAGGAGTCAGAAACACTACAAAAGACCGTTTACTGTTTCCCCCGCAGAGAAATAGCGCCCCCGGGTGATTCCTTGGGGAATCACAGACGCAGCTCAACGGTCCACACACCGGACTCACCGTGCGGCTTTACTATCGGCAGTAATTCGGTGCAAACATTTCTCGTAGCAAAAAAGTTTGTCTTCAGCGTTATCTCAGCTTGAATGTCAAAGGGTGTTGGATCGTCAACTTTGAGAAACAGCAAACAGAAAAAAAAAAATCAGGCATTTCCCCCTGGAACTCTTATGACAAAGTGGATCTTATCTGTCATTAAAGGGGAAAAAAAGCTAACTTTACATTTTTTAAACTGGTAGGTAGGTCGGTGGTTCTCCGACTTCAACCACACCTCTGAACCGCCTGCAGGGCTCGTTAAAGCAGCTTTGGGGGCCACGCCCCCGCAGTCTGGATTGGGTTCCCAGGCCATACTACGGCTACTGTTCTGCGTGTGAGCCGGGCTTTGAGGACAGCTTCTCAAACATGGACGGGCGGAGGGGGCACCTGGACTCTGTTAAAACGCAGCGTGTGATTCAGCAGGTGTGGGCCAAAACCTTAAGTTCTGAGATCGCAGCCAGCGCCCGGCGTTGCAGGTACCGCTGGGCGCCGCCCGCACCTGGAGGGGCAAGGCTCCCCGCGGACCTCCACCGCAGCACGGTGTTCCCCACACGCAGTGGGACATCCGGGTGTGTATCCACCAGTCCCTCAGCCCTGGGCTGCCCGGGGTGTCAGCCCTCCCCACTCCCACCCCGCTGCGCTCGCGGAGAGCCCGCAGACTGAGTTGCAGGGGTGCGCGCACAGCCACGGCGACTCCTCAAGGCCAAGGGCATGAAAACTCCTGCTGCCCAGTAGTTCCTTTTACTCGGCTCTGCCTCTGGGTTTCCCTTCTCCATTAGGTTCCGCGTGGGGCCGGCCTGTATTTTTTTTTTTTTTTAACCAGCAGCACTATGGTAGCTGGGTAACTTTCTTCACTGAGCAACAGAGTAAGTGATCGCCTTGATTTCCGTCCCTTCCCCGCCACCCCAAGTATCGAAGATGCTGCTTAAAGCCCCCCTTGTATGTTTGACAAAGAGAAGTTCCCGGGGGGAGCGAACGGGCGCGCTTCCTTCCTGCCAGAGCCTATCAAAGCTCTCCACTATGCAGAGTCCCGAGTCCAGAAACGTGCAAGGGAGCGCTAAGTGTGTCTAAGATTCATTTCCTGCCCTGGGCAGATGGCCCCGGGCATTTGTGAATGCGCGCTTTCAGGAAAGCCAAAGCCCAAAGCGAGCTTGGAGACCCTCCGTGGAGAAAACGGTTCTGGCATCAGACAGAAAGCTGATGAGCTAAGCAGGGCGTGGCCCCCTCCCAGGAGGCGGTTTACTTTTGTTGCAAACCACAGCAGCTGACAGTTCGGCGGGGCCCTTGCACAGGCCCGCACAGGCCGGCGGGAGGGCGGGGCGCGTTGTGCCCCGTACCCAGGTCCCTTTGGCGCTGACTGAACCTCTCCAGCAACTCTGGGAAGAGAAAACCCGCCACAGGAGGCGAGGGCGGAGGGCATCCCCAGGGGCATCCGCTGCCCTTCTTGGTCACTCAAGTGGATGGGTGGGGGCGCCTGCATCTCACCGCCCCGCACCCTTGGGCACCCAGGGACCTCCCACTCCCACACCTACACTTGAAGGCGATGCCCGCGTTGTTGATCAGCACGTTGAGCCCCCCGTATTCCTTGCGCAGGAAGTCCCGCAGGGCACGGATGCTCTGCGGGTCGTCGATGTCCAGCTGGTGGAAGCGCGGGCTCAGGCCCTCGGCCTGCAGCTGCTGCACGGCCTCCCGGCCCCGCGCCGCGTCCCGCGCGGTGAGCACCACGTCCCCCGAGAACTGCCGGCACAGGTCCCGAGCGATGGCGAAGCCGATGCCCTTGTTGGCCCCGGTGACCAGCGCCACGCGGCTGCAGGACGACATGGCTGCGTGGGGGGTGCGCGGGGCACGTGTGCAAAGAGTGGATCGAGCTGGAGGCCACGGAGGGCACTCTCTTCAGAGACCCAGTCACAGTCAGAGAGGCCGCGCAGAACTGAGCTCTGGGATTCTGTGCTGGACTTGAGCAACGAGGCCGCGGCCTCGGTCCCTCCCTCCAAGGAGGGGCCTTCTTTTCCCAAGCTTTCGTATTGCCGGATTCCTGGGCCCGCCCCCTCCTCGCTCAGAGCGCTCCTGGAGAATCCTCCGAGCCGAGCCGTCCGGCGTCTGTCCATGGAGCGGCTGTCGTTCTTCCAACACCAGAACGTGATGGGTTGATAGGGTCTAGGGATCCTGGTAGTTGGACTGAAAAAAACTATTTTAGGAGAAACACAGAGAAAAACAAGTACTTGAGTGTTTTTCTTGGGTATGCGCCCAATATCCCTTGTAAGATGAGAATGTCCACTTTTTCCTTAAAATGCCATGAAATTATTTAGACATGGTAACAGCTTCTGGGTACATGGGTGTCGTTTCTTACTTAGGAGCAACTCGACAGGGAGAGCAAAGCGGTCCTGTGAGTAGATTTACAGGTGGGCGACAGGTACCTCGCTCTGTGTGGTTCTCCGGGCGCCCCCAAGCGGAAGGGACTGGTTATGAAGCTCTTACCAGGTGTTAAGTCTTTCACTGGAATGTTTTTTTTTTCTGATCCTTTCATAACTCCTAGGGATGCCAAGTATCCGCATTTTAGGTTCGTCCGAGGTGATATGAATACTTTTTTTTTCTCCCAGTTAAATCTGTGTACCCACGAAGTTCGGCTGAAAAGGAAAATCTCAAAGGCCTGTGGAGGTGTGGATGGGCGATTAGAACTCCCCGCCCACCTTCCTTATTGTAACCTGAGTGTGGTTGATCCCGGGGTGTTTCCTGGTGACTGATGGGTTTACAGACAGCTTTGATCTCGTCATGACTCAGCTTTCCCCCCGAGGGCTGCTGGCTAAGCTGCTCGCTTGTCACTTGGATTCCACCTCCTCCATCAAGGCAAGAGGAGAGAGATCGGGGAGGTAGCACCTGCTCTCTGGCAGACCCCAACTGTGGCTCATCCAATACTTCCCCCCCTCCCTACGGATTATTTGGAATTCTATTTTAAAGCTACACGGCTATTCAGATTTTCTATTTCTTCTTGGCTGAGCATAATTCATGTTTTTCAAACAAGTAATATATTTCATGTAAGTTGTTGATGCTGTCGATATGAAGTTGCTCATTCCATGCCCTTACTAACCCTTTTCCTAGTGGTGGTGATGCTGTGCTTGCATTCCCAACGTTGCTAATTTGCGTCTTTCGTATTTTCTTTTTCTGACCTGTCTGGTTAGAGGTTCACCATTTTTTTGCTTTTTCTTAAGGCAGCATCAGCTTTTGGTTTCATTTATATTTTTCTCTCATGATGTTACATTTTTGTCCTAATCCTTATTTCCTTTCTTTTGCTCATGTTGGATTTTATTTACTTTTTCTAGTTTTTTATACCATGGAAGCTGAGGCCATTGATTTGAGATCTTTCTTCTTTTCTACTATAAGCATTAAGGGCTGTTATTTTTCTTTAAATACTAAGTTAGTGGCAAGCCATAAACTTGGAGATGTTTTGTTTCAATTTCAATCACTTTAAAATACTTTAATGTCTTCTTTGCTTATGGGTACTTAGAAGTATATTTTTTATTTTCCAACTGCTTTGGGATTTTCTACAATCTTGCTGTTATTGACTTCTAATAACTTAATTCCACTGTAGTCAGAGAACATATTAAGCCCGTGTCTTTTTTTTTGATAATTCATTTTTCTACAGACCACCCCTTCAAACCACCTAGGTTTGCATTTATGACAAGAATTTATCATCTGAATATTACAATCACAGTGGTCCTCTGCTTTAACAATTTCTGAAGTTCTTTTGTCCACTGGGTCGCTGCTATGTGAGCGAAACCTCGGTGACCCCTGGGCGTCAGAGCCTGCGCGGATCTGTACAACAGACAGAGAGATGGAGCACAGCAGGACCTGCCGGAGCAGACTCTGGAGTGGCCGTGGGCTGCTGCCTCAAAGTCAGAGTGACCTGTAGCACCGCTGGAATAAACTCTCAATTTTATTCAAGTTCCTGTTCCTTTTCAATTACTGTTCCTTTTTGGTTTGCCTCTCCAGCTGCTTCCTAATCAGACTTCACCTTTTTTAATTTTATTTTTTCTTTACCTCCCTCCCTTCATTCACATGCTCATCTGTGAAGACTTAAGTTTTTCCAGCTTTGGATGATAACTGCTTTTAGAAACTGCAGTTACAAGAGAATTGTTGCCCAAGATACAGAATTTTTGAAAAAAGATTTTAGGTATTTATTTTAGAGCAGCAGAAAGGGAGGGAGACAAAGAGGGAGAGAAGCATCGCTACGTGACAGAGACATTGATTGGTTGCCTGCCTCTCACAGGCCCCCAACCAGGGACCTGGCCTGCAACCCAGTTATATACTCTGGCCAGGAACTGAACCGGTGACCTTGCGGTCTGCAGGCCAGCACTCAATCCGCTGAGCCACACCAGCCAGGGCCAGGTTCTACTGCTAATTCTAGTTCTCTTGCGATTTCCACCACATCTGCAGTTACTTCCTCCACTGAATCTTGTGCCACCCCCCACTCCCGACAAAGTTATCCACGAGGGCTGGAATCAACTTCTTCCAAAGTCCTGTGAATGTTGATGTTTTGACCTCTTCCCATGAATCACAGATGTTCTCAATGGCATTTAGAGTGGCGAATCCTCTCTGGGAGGTTTTCAGTACCCTTTGCCCAGGACCATCAGAGAAATCACTATCTAGGGCAGCTCTATCTAGCCCTTATGAAATGTGTTTCTTAAATCATAAGGCTTGAACGCTGAAACCACTCCCTGGTCCATGGCCGGCAGGGCGGATGTTGTGTTGGCAGCCACAGCATTAACCTCGTTGTACGCCTCCATCAGAGCTCTCGGGTGGCCAGGTGCACTGTCAGTCAACAGTAATACGTTGAAAGAAAGAAATCATTTTAAAATTTTTTCTGGGCAGCAGGTCTCAGCATTGGACTTGATGTATTCAGGAAACAGTTTTGTAAATAGACACAAAATCATCCAGACTCTGTTCTTCCATTTACAGAGCACAGGCAGGGGAGATTTAGCATACATCTTCTTAAGGGCCCTGGAATTTTTGCAATGATGCATGAGCAGTGGCTTCAACTTAAAGCTGCAGCTGCCTTAGCCCCTAACAAGATGGTCGGCCTGTCCTTGGGAGCGTTGAAGGCATGCACTGACCTCTGCTCTTGAGCTAGGAAGGGGTCCTTCTTCCAATGTGAGGCACTTGCGTCTACACTGAAAATCTGTGCTTGAGTGAGGCCACCTTCATAATTGCCTGAGCTGGCTTTCTGGGCAACCTGCTGCAGCTTCGACACAAGTGCTTGCTGCTTCCCTGGGCACCTGAGTGTTACAGAGATGGCCTCCTTCCTTAAACCTCATGAACCAACTTCTGCTGGCTTCACATTTTCTTCTGAAGCTTCTGCACCTCTCTTGGAGGAATTCCTACAAGCCTGGCTAAGGGCTGCTCTTCGCAGCTGAAGGACTTTCCAGAGAATAGTGAGTGGGCAGAGAGGATGGAGAATGCTCAGAAAAAAAGAGACCAAGAAGGGAGGACCCTTAGGAGGGTTTGCAGGTCACCCTGAGACAGGTAAAGGTGCGCTGTAGAGCTGGAACGGAGGAGAGCTCTGGGGAGAAATGTAGCAGAAAAACGCTTCTGACCTGGTAGTAGTTCCCGACTACTTCTGGTTTTGCTTTTTCCAACTCAGATACAGTTTTCCTCAAATAAACTCTTAATTTTTTGATATGCCTTGGTTTATCTCTTAACACTACTAAATAGTTCTGCAAAAAACAGTTTATGCTAGATCAAATGTACATGACAGTTGATCAAGGAGAATCAAATGGGGACAAAAACGTGAAATGTGTGTAGTGGCTTTACAGGAGGGATTAGCCATTCTTCTCAATCTGTCCTTACCCACCAGCTCCTCCAAATGTTAGGTACTAGTACTTCTGGTACTAGTTCTGTATCTGTTATGTAAATTCTACGTTAAAATGCTCAGTGACCCTCGTGCTGGAGGACAGCCTTGGTGAAGGTTCAGGAGGTGGCCTGTGAAAAGGTCTGGCCCTTTGCCCAGGGCCTTTGCTGGGGGTAACCCTGAACCTCTCGTCCTGCGCTCCCTGATAAGACTGTCCTGGTTTACTTGGGGGCTCAGGGTCAGGCCACACAATGTGGGTTGACAACGTGATTACTGTGCGGCCACTTGGTATCCGCTGGGCCCTCTGGAGAACAATGGGCCACATCTGTGTGACCCACTCTCCACAGAAACACCTGCAATCCGGGCCCAGGCGAGCTTCCCTGGTAGGCACTACTCTGTGTATTGTCACGCACGTCGGCTGGAATAAACCCCTGCTGTCTGCACTTCCCTGGGATGGACAACTGAGAGCTGCATGCCTGGCCTTGCTGGACCCTGTCCAGTGAGAGTTGCCCCCCCACTGTTGATCTGAATCAGTCTGTATCTCCCAGAACACACTGTAAATTTGAGTATGCCAGCTTTCCTCAGTTCTGCGTCCTGGTAGTGACTGCTGGACCTGAGGGTGGTCTTGGGGACCTCCTGAACTTGTAAAATCCAAGTGATATTTATTTCGGATATGCACAGTTGGTTTAGCATCTAGAAACCAATGAATGTATCAGTAGCATAGAAAGAAAAGCCCATGTGATCAGATGCAGAAGATTTTAGGGACCTAATGAATTGGTAGTGAGGGCCCCACTAACCCAAGTGAGATCACTCAGAGAGTTGGGTGGGAGACTCGACATGGGACCCTCAGGGAACTCCGGCGTGTAAGGGGCGAGAGCAAGGACTGGCCTCTCTGAGGTGACTTCTGAACAAGGGCTGAAGGATAAGAAAGAGCTGGTTATAGCCCTGGCCAGATAGCTGAGCCGGTCATTGCATCATCCCCATAGGTTGCAGGTTTGATCCCCGGTCAGGGCACGTATAAGAATCAACCAATGAAAGCAAAAATAAAACAGCACATCTGTACTCTTCTGTCTCTGTCTGTTTGTCTCCCTCTCCCCTTCCCCTCTCTCTAAAATCAATGATAGAAACAGAGCCAGTTGTGCGAGACTAGAATGACAAAGAGCATGGGTGACCCCCAGACACGTGTGTGCTGGGTCCTGAGGCTGGATGGCCCCTGACCCCGCAGAGTCACGAGGAGACCATCCTGCTGAGCAGGGGCCTGGAGGCAGGATCAGAGGCAGGCAGGCCCAGATCATTCCAGAAACTAGAGGGTGAGGGCTCCTCATTGGACTCACCTTGGGGTTTCGAGATGGCAGGAGGTCGGTGCAGACATCTCGAGTATCAAGTTTGTTTCCGTCATCCCTCCTGCTTGAATGTGAAATGGTGTGTGATCATCATCTCACAGAGAAGGCAAGTTAATAAATAGTATTCGTGTGGTAAGATCCCAGAGAATTATATAACATTTCTTTTTGCAAGTAACATCTGGTTAAGTCAAAGTTATGTCTGGCTGTAGTTAACAGCATTGTGGCAATGTCAAAGTCATGGCTTGTTAATGTTCTACAGTGCTGTACGGTGGTACTGTTCGAGAGGCTAGGTGAAGCAGGGAAAATGTGTCCTATGCTTTGCAATTTGTTTTTTTCCAAGTAAGTTAAAAATTCAACAAACTGCTCTAAAGTACAATCAGAGAAAATGTGCAAAAACCTGGAGGGGGTCCCTAAAAGTCTGATCCCTGGAAACACAAAGACCCTTTGGTTGGGGGTCTTTGAACAGGGGGCCTGTTCTAGGTCCCATAGGAACTACTGTCCCAGCCCTATGGCCAGTCCCCCGGCCAGGCCCCTTCGTTAAGGCTGTCTCCTCTCCGAGCCAGAATGCACCTAACAGGAAAGGTGCCTGCCTCACTGACTAGCACACTGAACCCCCCCCCCCCCCCCCCCGCCCTGCACAGGAAGTTGTACGGGGCTTTGCTGCTCTGTAGGTTGTCTGTACAGCTGGCGGAAGCCTGGGCTCACGCCCTCAGCCTGCAGCTGCCGCACAGCCACCTGGTCCCCCGCCTCCTCCCACAACGTGAGCACCACGTCCCTCAAGAACTGCTGGCACAGGTCCTGCACGAAGGCAAAGCCTATGCCCTTGTCGGCTCTGCTCACCAGTGCCACACGAGCGTAGAGTGACAAGGCTGGGTGGGGCGTGGGGGAACTTGAACAGAGAGCAGACATCGCTGTGGGTCACAGGGGTCGGGTGGTGTGGTCTTGCTCTGTGGGGACCCGGATAATCTGAGAAGAGGCAGCACACAGCCAAGTTCTGGGATCCAAGGCTGCGATCTAGACACAAAGGCCCGCCTCTGTCCCTCCCTCCACGGAAGGGCTGAACGTGCCAGGTTTACCAATGCCACCACTTCCTGTCTGCCCCTTCCCACACCTGTGATGCATGTTCGTCCCAAGCGGAACACACAGCCCTCTTTGATCCCAGCTCTGAGCCCAGCAGTGGACGGGATGGAGAGGGGCGTGCCCCCAAAACACACTGGTTGGTGCTGATAATCGAGGGCCAGACACTGATGGCCGTGGAACCGAAGAAACTATTTCGGGAGAGCCCCAAAAGTGAAACCATGCAGGGCGAGTGTTTTGGGCTTGGCCCCATTATCCACTGCAGATTGGAAATGTTGCTTTTTCCCAGAATGGACAAGATATTAGACAGGGTAAGTGCTTCTGAGGACATACAATAGACCTGCTTCCTTTCTTATTAAAGAAATCGGTCCTGTGATTACTTTCAGTGTGGGCAGGGCTCCTCTCGCTGAGGATGCTCAGTGCGCCCCCAGTGGACTGGAGGACTTACGGCGCTTTTACTCTGTGCTAAGCCATGGAGGGTGTGTCCTGGTTACATAACCTCTGTTTGCTTCAAGACCCTGCGTTTGGGTGTGGTCTGTGGTCACGGTTATTAGATAGATACACAAAACCATGCCTTGCTCACTGGTTATAAACGGCCTGGGGCTACTTTCATGCTGCCAACAGCAGATCTGAGTAGTTCTAAGAGAGACTGTGGCCTGCACAGCTGAAAATATTTACTCTGGCTCTTTCTAGAAGGTCTGCTGCCCCTTCCTTGACCCGACGTTTGAGTCTGTTAGATTTCTGAGTGGCTCCGGCTGTAAGCCATGTGCAGAGTGGGTTGACAGCACCCTTCAATCCCCTGCGGGTTCTCACTCATCACTCTCATCCACCCCACTCTTTCTCCTCCTGCACCACAGAAAGAAAGTCACAAGACTCACAGGATTAGTAGCCAACTCTAACAATATTTATGGGTTTTGGACAGAAATTATTTGACAGCCCACAGGTTCTTGTGGTCAATTCAGGGCAGAAACCGTGATGGGGCCTGCGGAGGAGCTACAAGAGGGGCTCACCATTGCTGAACTGTCTTCTCTGAGACAAACTGTCCATGAGGTCCCTTAGCCTCTGGGGGCAAAAGGGCCAAATACACAGGGGTCTCTGCTCCTTCTTCTGGGCTTTTGGTGGCCTTGGGTCCAGCCAGGTCGGTTCTCACCCACCCCGGACAGCAGGCGTTCAGGAGGATCTTGTCCCCTCCCCTGTGCTCACTCAGCTTCCTGGCATGGATTCTGGACAGGACTGTGACGCCGATTTTCGAGACTCCATAGGCGGTGCTGGGCCAGCCCTCCTTCTCGTGAACCCCTTCCTTTGTATCTTCCACGAACTTGTTCATGAGCCTCACCAGCTCCTCCTCGCTGATGGTGTCGCTTCGAAACTTCTGCTGTAGTTCTGGGCTGCAGTTCTTCAGAGCTCTGAGACTCACAGTGCTAGACACATTCACCACTCTGCCTAAAATACAGCAGAAATCATTACGTACAAAGGCACGCACGAGAACGGTGGCTGCCAAATTTGCTGGGGTTTTGGACCAGGAAGATTCCATGGGAGTAATTTCCAGTGTGTTATGAACATAAACAGACTGCCTCTATGAGTAAGGACATGAAGCAATTGAAGTTCCATTAATAAAAGGAAAATGGTCTGTCCGGGAACATGCTAAGGGGAATATAAAGAGGTACTCATTGCTTTCAGGAGCAGGCAGCTCCTTCTCCTCTAAGACTATTTTGGGGAATACATGAGGATCTTATGGTCACCTGTGCAGGGCTCCATAAACAGACAGGTGTCCACAGACTAACAAAGAGCAATTCTAAGGTGAACAGACAACATCCAGTGGGGAAGGCTGCTACTCTGATTGGGGTGGTGGGGGGAGGGTAAAAAATCAGTTCAGGGGGCTGAACTGTATGCTGTCTTGTCCATGTTTGGGGTCGATAAGCATAGGAGCAGGTGGTCAAATGGAAGCGGGCGGCCAGCTACAGTGACGCACAAGTGGATGACTGTTGACACGGGACCCTTGCACCCCCTGCGGCACGCAATGCCAAGGACCATTCTCCCTGCCAGTGAGAGAGCCAAGACAGCAGGTGGTGACGGGGGAGAGTCCTGGAGGAAAGTGGGCAGTGAGGGCTCCTCCTCAGACTCACCTTGGGGTTTCATGAGAGGCAGGAGCTCTGTGCACACGTCTTGGGTACCAAAAAAGTTTGTTTTCATGGTCACTTCTGCTTGAATATGAAACGGTGTGGGATCATTAACTTGAAGGAGAGAAGAAGAGTAGAGTTGGCATGTGTCAAAATTCCATAGAATAATGTGAATTTGTGTAAAACTGGCTCCTAGTAACAGTACTCTGCCAACGCCATGTTCCTTGCTCAATGCTATTCGACAGTGTTGTGAGATGGTGAGGCAGGAGGGAACGCCAGAGGTGCCCTGGGGCCAAGACAAAGGACATCCATACAGGACAGAGACCCTGTTCTAAGACTGGTTGTTCTCCCTCTCTGGAAAAGCTGAATCATGGTGACTCTTAAATGCAGAACATGCTACATGAGCCCTGCTCCATTATAACAGCATTATAATAAATTCACATTGTGTGACCCCTTCTCTGGTGGCCAATCAAGGAAAATCATGGGAGACCATATGTGCAGTACCTTTAGGGTAATACAACCACTTGTACATGCGCAATAAAAGTCCGCCAAAACTAGCCAGGAACATTGGCCCTGTAAGAATAGAATCCCTTCGGCCCCTGAGGTCAATCTCTGCTAAGAGCTGACCAGCTCCCATGATCTGTGGAGTGCGCTATCGCTTAATAAATCTGCGCTCTCTCTTTCTGCTATAAACTCTGTGTGTTCAGTTCAATTCTTTGTCCGAAATCACCAAGAATCTAGTTAATTGCCCACCTGTGAAAATGGTACCATTCCCGAAGGCTGGGTGAAGGGCGTACAATGGGATCTTCGGGAACCGGATTGTGCACTTTTCTTGTCTACTTAAAAAGCCATTCAAAATTCACCCAACTGCCCTACAGTCTAAACCTGGAGAAACTGGACAACCGAGAAAAGATTCCCTGGCACCCAGAGCCAAGGGTTTCCAAACCGAAGTCCGTTTGGCTCCAAAGCACTCAGGTTTCTCTTGCACTTTGATCTATGGGCACCCCTGTCCCCTCTCCCTCTTTCTTGAGAGCCATTCTGCACCCCAAGAGACCCAGCGTGCAGATTCCCCAACAGATCCAGCCCAACCCTGGCTAGAGGTGCTCGGGGTGACTCCGCCCCTGCGACCACCCAGTCCCTCACCCTTGAAGGCGATGCCCGCGTTGTTGATCAGCACGTCCAGGCCCCCGTACTCCTTGCGCAGGAAGTCCCGCAGGGCGCGGATGCTCTGCAGGTCGTCGATGTCCAGCTGGTGGAAGCGGGGGCTCAGGCCCTCGGCCTGCAGCTGCTGCACGGCCGCTTGGCCCCGCGCCGCGTCCCGCGCCGTGAGTATCACGTCCCCCGAGAACTGCCGGCACAGGTCCCGAGCGATGGCGAAGCCGATGCCCTTGTTGGCCCCAGTGACCAGCGCCACGCGGCTGAAGGACGACATGGTTCAACGTGGAATTCCTAAAGCACCTGTGGAGAGCGGCCCGCGCTGTGGATGCTAAAGGGCGCAGCGCAACCTACAGCTCCCACCGAGGGTGCAAGCTTCTGCGCCTCTGCAGGTCACACGGTGCTCAGTGCCTAATATCATCCGGCCTGGCGCGCAGGCGCAGGCCCCGCCCCTCAGGGCGTGGCCCGGGTGAACCGCCCAGGGGTGGGGAATGCAAACAACAGCGACCTGGCAAGTTTACAAACGGGCGGGCTCGAGTCCAAGGCCGTTGGCTGCTGGGTACTGTCGGTTTGTAGAAATCATTCTGATGGGTCTTGTGACTACAGTCGCCTTCTCGAGGGTCTTTCCTCGTATTCCTCTAACGAAGCAGTCACAGCTGCGCTTGAAGAAATGGAACATTTGTACGGACTTTTTTTTTCACCCCCTGATGTTTTACAAAATACAGCTCGAAAAGTAAAGTATCTGGAACTGGAGTTGTGGAATAAGCTAGGAGACATGACGGGCTCATGGGTGTGTTGATTTGTCCCCTATCTATGTGAAAGCAAAGCTACTGG